CCAGTCAGGGCACATACATAGGTTGCAGGTTTGATCCCTGGTTGGGGTGCTTATGGGAGGCAGATGTTAAAATAAGTATTAAAATTAAAGTATCTATATTAAAATTAGATTCTAAGTCCCAATTCTTATTGGCATTCTTGGTAAGACAACTTTCCATCACAACAAAAATTGAGACAATTCTATAATTTATTGCAATGGGTTTTTAATCTGTTCTAAAGCAGAATTTGTAAATTTTCCTACCAGCTTTTCTCAATATTTCATTAGAAAAACATCATATGTTGCTAGCTATGGGAAACTTTTGGTTAGTCTTCCTATGTTAGTATAGAGAACAGTAACTCAAATAATATTTTCAAAAGACTAAAATATAAAGTACTTTTTTCAAATAGTATGGCAGATTCCTAGATTGGTGCTTTGCAGTTTTACCAATAACTTATTCTCTTTGATTTTTAAAACTTTATAGACTAGTGTTTAAATAGAAATAAATGAGTTCTATAGTCACAAATTTAGAGAATAAATGGAGGCCCTTAAACAATAGTGGTGCTAATTCCAGTATATTACAGATGTAATAATATTACACTAAAAGTAACAAAAAGATACTCTTTCTCTTACTAGTCACCTTTCAACATTAAGAGAATTGAGATATCATATTAAATACTTAGAATTTATTTTTCACCCAAGTAACCCTTCCTTTCTCCCTCCCTCCCTCCCTCCCTTTCCTTTTTCCTTTCTTCTCTTTGTTCTTCTTTCCTTCTCTCTTTCTTTTTAAAAAATTAAATTTAAGAAAAGAGAATCTGCCTTATCCCCATTTAGATAAAACTCTTCATTTCCGGTGATCTTATAGGCTACTGACCAGACTTTGTATGGGCCTCCTTGGATTAAGTGCCATCTGTTATGGCTGAGGTGGAGGAGGAGGGAGCTCATGAAGAAAGTATCATGACTGTTTGGTGCTGTCCCCTTACCGGAGTCTCTGGATGAGGAAGAATCCCTCCATGGAACTGTGCATACAGAAGATAACATGGTTAACACGTCTAGTTCACTGTTATAAAGTGCTTCTGGGAAAGGAAGCTCAGGAAGAAATTGTACCACCACTGCATCCTGTTTCACCATGGGCTAGGGAGAGATGAAACTCTGGTCAAAAATCACATGGTAGCCCAAGAAAGAAAGTATTTGGCTAGACTCATGAGTTCATAGAAATAAAGCTAAGTAAGTGAATAAATAGACACATTTAAGAAATAAAAGGAAAAGGAAATAGGCTTATGGCGGAGAGTTTGTCTACCTTTGTGCCTCTCACCTGGCTCCTCGTTCCTCATCTTCCTGACACTCTCCTAGGAGCTGTTAGCTTGCACCCTCCTAGAGATGCTTTCTCATTCCAGGGAGCTGTCTGAGGACATTTCTTATTTCCTGTTGTGAAAAGTGAAAGCAGTTTAGCTTTTTGTATATTTTTATCTGTAGAATCTTGTATAACATTTGGACAACTGAGAACAATATGTCTCATTTTGTAATTAGGCTGATCTTTAGTTATCTTTAAAAAATGTACAAGCTCAGAGCAAAATTCAGTTAAACATTGGGTATATTAGATGCTATTGTTAAGTGTGCAGCTTTAATACTAGCATGACTCATGAAATGTAACTCCTTTTATTAATGGCAAACAGCACCAGATGTTAGACTGTGGTCCTTGAGTTTGGCTAAGAAAGATTCAGAGCCAAGAACTCAAATATAACCAAAAGTTTATTTTAAAAGTCACGAAGGTAGAAGAAGTGAGCCAGCTGGGCTGTGTGGACTCAGGAAACAAGTTACGGAGGCAAAAGAAGGGCCCTTCTTTTGGAGAGGGAAAGGTAAAGAGAACAAGGCTGGGTGCGGGCATGCTCCAGAGAGTAAAGAAAGAAGGAAAGAAGGGACTGGGAAAAGGCGTGGGCATGCTCAAGCACTCACATTGGGTCCTTTGTCTTAAGGGGTTTTATCTGTTTTCCAAAGGCAGGGATTTTAGGGGAGGTCTCAGGGGAGGATTTCAATAGAATATTCATCAGCTTTCCAGGTGTGTCCTTCAGGGTTGTGGTCTTTACTGATTGGTCAGCGCTAGGATAGAGGGTCATTAGTCATTGCATCTGGTCCTGATGTCAGCCACAGGCATCCTTTCATCTGGTTTTGCTGCTCTTCTGGGCCTAGAGCTGAAACATAACTGTGGCCTAAATGTTATCTCTAGTTTGACCAAAACTCTGTATCTGTGGTCAACAGATCTGAGGCTTTGTTCTTCTGATTATTCGATTCCAGCCAGAACCTCATTGTCCTGAGGGCTTAATGCTTAAGGAAGTGGTCAGGCAAGGGCTTGTATGGAGTTGCAGGAGGCTATTCTCCAGCCCCTTGTTCCTCCTCTAAGGGGTTCTACTACATGATTAGCACCATGACAGGGGAGGGAAGGTCAGGGTTGCACAGAAGCGGGGGGGGAGGGGCTGTCTAAACTGAATGACCAACAGTATGTTCAGTTTTGCCAATTGCTAAGCAGCTGGGGCTTTCTGCCCTGGTTACTCTATACCTGGCCCATCCTTCCCACTCTGCTCACATCTGTCTAACTGCCTACTATATCAGTTTTGCTGATTTGTCTTGGTGGTCTATAGTGTTTGAAAATATTAATAAGAATGAGGACAGCCTGCATTCAGACAACTATAGCATATAAAGTAAATAGAAGGGCAGGTTACTCAATTATTTTTTAAAAATATATGTTTTTATTGATTTTAGAAAGAGGAAGGGAGAGGGAGAGAGAAATAAAAACATAAATGATGAGAGAGAATCATTGATCGCTGCTTCCTGCCCCCCCCCTACTGGGGATTGAGTCCACAACCCAGGTTTCTTTCTGGTGCATGGACAGACACTCAACCAACTGAGTCACACCAGCCAGGCTCAATTCTTGATACATCTAACTAGCAAAACAACATGATTTCACCTTACCATCATGATTGGTAAAATCATTTAATTTCTCCGAATTCAGTTTTCTTATCCGTAGAAATGGGGAAAATACCTACTTCATAAATTGCTATAGAATTATCTGAAGCATTTGGAAGTAGTTGGCACAATGTCTGGCATATATTAGCTCAATGAAATTCCTTTGTATCCTCCTCCACCTCCACCCCCTTTACCCTTCCTCATCGCCACTTCTCTGACCTCCATCTAATGGCCTAATCAGAGAAGTGCTGAGCTCCCAGATGGTAGGCCTTTTCCTTTGTCCTCTTCTTCCATAATTATGTTACTTCCTCGTTAAGAATATGCTTACGTGTAACTCATAGATAACACAAAAGACTTTGTCTTTAAATTTGTTTTCTTACTTTTTCCAGTCTTCTCTCTAGTTGCCAAGAGGCTTCTCTACTTAAACATTTTACTGTTAAGTTTAACATCTCAAAAGCTGCTTAAATCATTTTCTTATTTTTCAAATAGACTCTTCTGATTTCCCCGTTGTCTAACCAAAGCATAATTTCCTTCTCTAATTCGTTAATTCAAGTTGCTATGCCTTCAGTGATTAGTCCTGAATAACGCTATTCATTCCATTACTTTATATCTGAAACTTTAAAAATTTATCTTTAGTTTGCAGTATATTAATTCAAAGTTTTTGATACTTTTAAACTATAATTTATTTCAGGTTTTTGAGTTATAGTTTGCCTAAAATCTTAAGAGGTTCTTTAAAAAGGAACTTTATCTTATTCTTTTATATACTTCAAAATCTGGGTGTAGATTGATTCACTGATGGTTGACTAGAGCTATACAAATAAGCTCCAAAGTATGTCTTTCTTTCTTTCTTCCTGTCCTTTCTTTCTGCTTCCTTCATTTTGCTTACAGAAAAAAATCCTGAGGATAAAGGATATTTGCGGAGAGTGGCTACAGCGTTTGGACAGGTTTAAGCCTTGGACTAATGAGAGGGCACGGTCCTCTTGTGCACGTGTAGGTCCCAGCTTGGAGGGCAAACCCTCCCAGCACAACTATAGCCAAAGGCTATGGTTCTAAGCTTGACCTTATGGTTCGAACCTGTGGTCCCATGTGGCTGAGTGATGTAGGCTGCAGGAGGTGCAGCAAGTGCTGCCAAAACAAAGCTTGATAGAGTTCTCAGGTATACGTAATTAAGTAGATTTGAAACTCCTGAGAACATTGTAAACATCTTGACCACGCCCCTGGTTTGCCTCGTGGGATCTGACTATAAAATAAAGATTTGGCCTTTAGGTTGTGTCACTGTCTCTCCATTTGAAAACAGTGTCCCACTTGGCCCCAGCTATATTCTCTTGTCTGTTTTCTTTAATCCTTCGCTGCCCTTCTCAGGTTCACCACTGGCCATGCTAGATGCAGTTCAGATATTATCTATTTTTTTAATCTTTGGGTATTAATGATAAGATTATACTTAATTTTGGTTCTATTATTTGGAATTTTTGCTACTAAGTTCATTTTTTAATTGAGGTATAATTGACATATAACATTTGTTATTAATTTCTTACACAGCTTTACAAAACCCCTTTTGATGAACTTGTGAACAGGCTCTTTCATTTGTCTTAGCTCATTCATGGAGTGTTATGACAATAGAATTAGATAAACTGTGTGGATGTGGTCCAGTTTTTTTGATAATTACAAACAGATTATGTCTTAGGGCATTTTGTTTTAGCATTAATGAACTAGAACCAACTTTTGAAACACTTTAGCAAAATTTAACAAATCCATTGCTGGATACCAGCCTTTTATAAAAGATGCTTCTCTTTATTCTATAGTTTGCTACCATTTTAGTTGATAATAACAAATCATTCAAATAATACTCAAAGTTTTTAAGAATATGAATAAGAGTTTATTTAATAAAAATGTAAAACTTATTAAAACAATTAAGTTTTTAAGAAATAAATTAGTGAGGATTGCATCAATATTGATGAGGAATCTGTCAGTTGGGGTACAAGACAACCCAGAACCTGGGTTTAGTGGTTTGGCTTATATGGGTTTACTTTTCATAGCATGTTTTCACTTTTCCCCTTCAGGGTCTCAAAGGATATCCAGGCCTCCCAGGACTCCGAGGTGAACCAGTGAGTACTTCCTTTATAAAATGGTATCTTTCCCAGTGAGAAAGACACCCACTAGAGAACTTTATTGAGAGATTTCCCCCCATTTACTGTTTCAATTTGCTAATTATTTTCCCTCTATTTAGTATAAGAACAATTTTTAATTGATTATCTATTATAATTTTGTTTTTTACATAGTCCAGCCTGACTTTCAGTGTGCCTAATATCTTCCAGAGCAGCAGTTCTTAAACTTTTGTGGTTCACAAGCCCCTTTGAGAATCTCACAAATGCTATGAACCCTTTTCTCAGAAAATACACTTATCCATGTACTACATGCACACCCCACGCTCATCCATGCTCACACACATACACATACACCCACACACACGCCTAACTTATTTCCTACAATTTCAGGGCCTTGTCTCTTCACTAACGTCAATCCTTGCATGAGGGATGCAATTGAATTTTAATAACCTAAATCAGATGTCACATATGCTGCTGTCCATTACATACATAAGTACATATTTAAAAGTCAAAATACTGTAGTTTTGGAACTACAGTATCTAGTTTTTAATTATGCCTTCTCTCTCTCACCAGAAAATATTATATCATTACGTCATATAAAAATGTCCTATTTCTTGTTTTCAATACAGTGTGTAGTAGCCCAGTGACAAGGGTAGGAGATTAGAAACCAACTAGGGTGGCAGGTACTGTTATTGGAGATCCAGCAGAGGGCCTCAGGAAGCCCTAGAGCAGTGGTTCTCAACCTTCCTAATGCCGCGACCCTTTAATACAGTTCCTCATGTTGTGGTGACCCCCAACCATAAAATTATTTTCGTTGCTACTTCATAACTGTAATTTTGCTACTGTTATGAATCGTAATGTAAATATCTGATATGCAGGATGTATTTTCATTGTTACAAATTGAACATAATTAAAGCATAGCAATTAATCACAAAAACAATATGTAATTATATATGTGTTTTCCGATGGTCTTAGGCGACACCTATGAAAGGGTCATTCGACCCCCAAAGGGGTCGCGACCCACAGGTTGAGAACCGCTGCCCTAAAGGGAGCTCAAGAAAGAAATGTGATGGGGACTGTCACTTGAGAAAAAGATATAAATGAAGATATAAAGGCAACTTTCTATTTCATATGTGTTAAGTGGGACAGTATACTATATTCAGTCCCTGAGGCACAATTTCCCAAGATTACTAGTTACTAGACATGGCAAGCAAAACATAACCCATGCAATTTCAGTTTCTAAAAGATTAAACAATTACTGAAAATCATTTTAATTTTTATGGGTAAAAATCACAAGGGTAGAAGGAAATATGGAGGGGAAAAATCCCCAGAATACTGCTTTGGCAGAAATGTGTGGATCTCAATGAAGAAAACCTAATACTTCACAAGAAAATGAAAAATTGACCGTGTGTCAGTGCTGGCCAGTTCTCTCATAGCTTCTTTATAACCTAGTTCTGTTAGTGTGCATATTATTGTTCTGCAAGTGTCATGCTTTTAAAAAGAGTCTAAAATCACTTGTAAAGGTTATGAAAATGTATTTGGAGTCAGTTCGTACTTTCTATTCTAATTATTTCCAGAAAAAAGGCAAAATTTGATAATTGTGAGGAACAACTAAAATCATGCTGCATTTTAACTATGAACATGCTGCAGTCATTAGGAAGAGCATAACTAATTTTCTGGGAGATATTCATTTATGAAAAATTTATAAATATCTATAAATTGGTCAGCAAACATTTGGAAAAGTATTTATATAATCTGTGCAAGCTCTAGTAATAAGAGCTGTCATTTATTGAGTTTTTATTAGTGGCCGAACTGTACTACCTGTCAACTACAATTTGTAGTGGTATAGTGATTTATTGAGTATTTCCATATGTTAACTAATGTAACGCTCAGCATCACTAAGAATTATGGGCAGTTACCTCCACTTTTAAATATATTCCTACACTTTATTCTGTTTTATCCACACAATAATCCTGTGACCTAGAGATGCACTAAGATGCAGGGAGGATCCATGGTGGTAGTGCTGGGACACTCCATGGAGTCTGACCGACTCAGAGCATGTGCCTTAATGCTCAGAGCAAGAAGTGGGATTGGGGCAGGTTTCTTATTCCTAATTACCCCTCTGAGGCTATAAGATAGTATTTTGTGCCTAAACTCCTCCATTCAAGCTAAAGATTTAAGTAAGCCATTAAAAACAACAACATTTTTTAAGTGCAAAGTGAATTGAGTTGTAGTGTTCATTTTGAGTTTCTTTTGAGCTCTTGTGGCTGCCACAGTGACTTTAGGGCATGGTTGACTTAGCATGTATTTGTGCCATGTAAGACCAAGCTGAAGGCGTACTTGTTTTCTTGATTTGCTGCTATTCCCATACAGAGGAACTTAGCCATTGAGTGGAGTTCTTTTTTTTTTTTTTAATTTCTCTGTACAGCTGGAATGTGTTAGCTCTCTGCATGTAGCTTTAACACATTCTATAAAAATCCATTCAAAATCAGATTTCATTTATGTCTTATAGCAGATTGCTTTTAACTGGGGTCAGTTAACCTGATTAGGCTAGGAAAGGAATGAAAGAGATGGTGGGAAGTTGGCATTAGTTAGATAGTGACCTACAGAATAAAAACAGCATTTTTAATTTGTTTCACTCATTTCTATTGGCATACCTAAATATAAGGTTTTATATGGGGCACAAATAAGCAGTTGTAAATAGACTGGAACAAATCTCTTAATTAGAGGGCTTTCCTTATAGTACTATTGGAAGTTATTTGCACTTCAAACCTATACTAGAAAGACACCCTTGAATGGTGGTCTTTGGAATTATATTTACTGATTTAAATCCTAACTTTTTACTTACCAGCTGAATGACTTCCCATTGGTGAGAAACACTTTATGTCTTATTATTTTCATCTGTAAAATAGGGATAATAATATTTATGCTTATAGTGTTTGAGCAGACTAGGTAAATATATATATACTAGAGGCCCAGTGCACAAAAATTTGTGCACTTGGGGGGGGGGGGGACCCCACCCGGGCTGG